GACCTGAATTTGAATCCCATACTCATGGGAAAAGCCTAACGTGGCTGTAAATGAGCCAGTGTTACAGAGCAGGGGCAGAGACAGGAAGATCTCCGGACCCAGTTAGAGGCAGCAGGTAGTCCAAAGCCACAGAGCAACCACAGAGACTGGAGAACATCACATGAATTCTATCACAGCTGGGTGCAGACAGATCTTTTTGTCACTTCAGACTGCTGCAGCATCACGTGGCTAGTCCTGGGTCGCGTTCTTCCGTCGGTTCCCTCTACATCTGGCTCCACGCCATGTCTGCCCTGGACTAAATGCCTACCTCCTCTCCAGCCTTTCTCTCCCTCCACATTCTCCCACCATTTCTTCTCAGCAGAGTAGTTGCAGGGCTCCTTCTAGGGGGTCGGTCAGGTCATGTGATTCCTGCTGCCACTGTGGTCCACAAGGCTTCCATCCATCCCTAAGGTGATGCCAACTGCCCAGCTGGAGGATCCCAGTCAGTCTCCAGCTCCTGGGCAATTTCTGGAGGTAAGACCTGACCCTGTGCACTGCTGGACCTTCCCCATGGAGTGCCGTCTGGTGAACCCTCCATCTCCCTCAGGTCTTTACTAAAATATCTCCTTACTGAGCTTGTCCCTGGACACGCCGCTAAGGCAAGCCCCCCTCCCTGCCCACCCACTCCCCACACTCGATTGGTACACTGGTACTATGGCTTGGCAACATGGCCTGTGTCTTACACTTGTATGTGCATAATGTTTTTATCTTCCACCTCTGTACACCTGAGCTCCACACATTCAAGTGTCCTGTTTGTTGACACAGCTCTAGCATCAAGATGATGTCCAACACAATAGAGCTACTTGGGAAGTGTTTGTCAGATGAATAAAGTAGTGTTAAAGGCAAAAATGGATAAATGGGACAGATGCTACAACAAAAATGTATACCCCAGGACAAGGCGTTCGGAGGCCCTGCCAAGTGAGATTTGTTTTGAAGTAGAATTACATAAGCATGCATCTGGGGTGCTCAGAAACTTCCATTTTCATTTGCAGAACTGTATATGAGCCTCTGTGGGCGACAGCCTGTCATACAAATGAGATGTGTTGTAAAAAACCCGTATCCAAGCTATTTTAAAAATGGGTTTTTAAATGAATGTTTAAATATTAATACAGAATATTAATATTTGAAATTCATTTTTTCATAAAATAAAGTTAATCTTGAGGCTAGCACAGTTTTCAGAACTTTTGCTAGCTAGATTTCAAAGCACCACTCCCCAAGCACTGCAGGAACCAGGCCAGCCATATTCATGTCTGTTTGTTTCTATTCACTTATTATCACTGTTTTTTGCTGGAAGTTCTGAACGGCGATTAAATGATTTAATCAATCACAATTATGATTATTTTCAGAATTTCAATGGCTTTCACTTGTCACTAGACAGAAATATTTTAGATTGTTAGTGGGAAAACTGAATCTCTTTAATCATGAAATGGAAGGAAAACTGATAGAAATTACAAACAAGTTCCATCTCCTCTTTCCTTGTCTGTTTATTTATTCATTTACTTTGAGACAGGATGACCCCAGACTGACACTTGCTGTGGAGTAGAAGAGGAAGGACCTTGAGTTTCTGGCCCTTGTGCTTCTGACTCGGGGTATCACAATTAGACAAGCCCTGCCAACAGGGCTTCGAGCATCTAGACGAGTGTTCTCCCAGCTGAGCTGCCTTCCCAGGCCCCACCACTCCCTTCCTTATATTCAGAGTGACTGATAGAGCGTGTCCCTCCAGAAAAAGTAGATCAAAACTTTCAGCTTATTTCAATTTGCATCTCTATTTCCTGAGACTGGGGCTTTTGCAGTTGAAGTCAATTCTAGATTTTTCTAAATCTAATAGAATAAATTAAAGTTTTGGCCCTAATTTTGAAAAGGAAAAAAACCTTCTCAACCTACTTTCTTCTATATCAATATTAGACAGAAACATAAGGAAACGTGAAATAAAGCCACACCCTCATCCCCAAAATATGTTCCTTTAAGTTTATAGACATACCTGATGTTAACAGGTTCAACTGTTACAGGAAGTTGGTGCTACTGTTCCATGTAACCAAGGACCAAATGAAATTTGTCATTGAGCAATGGTCAGGGGTGACAAGGTGCTGAACCCCCCCAGATGCTGGGTACCCTGTTCTATATGCCCATAAGCTATCTATTAATTTATTCATCTGCAGAAATATTTAAATGACTTGCATGTGATGTAAGAGCTTAGGTAACATGCCCCAGATCCTCAGGGAGAGAAGAGCTCTTGTTCTGGTCTGACCAGGTTGCAGTGGCTGGGAGATGATCCTCCAGGCCTTTCACTCCACCAGGGCCCTCTTAATTCAGAAAGTCAAGCCCCATCTGATTCCAGACACTCTTTAGTCATCTACATCTCCAACAGGAATATAAGCTACACACAATGCTGAGGGATTTCCTGTTGTAGAGTGGTTTTAGAATATCAACTCTTAGAGTTTTTTGGAATTCAGGCATCTGATGATGGTTAACAGCTAGGGGAGGATTTGGAGCCCCTCAGAACTCCATAACATCATTGAATCCAGTCAGAAAGACTGCCAACTGACTCTCCCCAATGTTATTGACTACTGTTTTCATTACTCTGGTCAAATACCAGACAAGAAGTAATGTGAGGGAGGAGGGTGTATTTTAGCTCTGAGCCTCCCATAGAAGGGAAGGTGTAGAAGCAGGAGCATGGTGGGGCTAGTCACATTGTGTCTGCACCAGAAAGTAGAGTGGACAGAGAGGTGGGCCAAGCAATTAAATCCCAAGGCCCACCCCCTGTCCCATGAGTGACTCACTTCCTCCAGCAAGACTCCACCTTTCAACAAGTACCACCAGCTGACTAGGTGGTACGTGGTCAAACTACCTTCTTAACATGCATACGGACAGCTTGTGATGCTCTCAAACATAGTTGGAGAAGCTTCTTTTTGCAGTAGGTTGCTGCTAATACAGAGACTCATAAGTGGTCAAAATACTGAGAATATGTGCTGTACGTGCTTAAGCTTAAATGGGTTATCCTATTAGTATCCCTTGACTCAACTGGGAGCATCACAGAAGGGTGGGCAGAGAGAAGGAGAGCCCGAGGACAGAGAGCAGGGCTGTGAGATGTGATTTTCTGGGAATGAGATGGCAGACACACACATCAGTGAAAAAAATCTTAAGCACCATCTTGTGGGGGAAATTGTCTAAACACATGAGCCTATGAGGGCCATCGCACATTCAAGCCACAACATTGTCAGGGGTCAGGACAGGTCACACTTGATAGAAACCTCACAATCCTGTAAGTGCCATTCACAAACTTTTCTTAGAATGTCTGATTATTGCCCTATCTGTATTTGGACTATATCCAAATGCAGCTTGCTTTGATTCTCACCCATTATCCTCGTGTACCTCACAGCCTGGGGCCGCTGTGCCCCATGGGATCGGGCTCCCCCGTAACAGGTGCCAGGCACTGTTTGCTGGACAGCCCATCTCTGCCTCTCACCCTTTGTCATCTCCCATGCTGTCCTCTTGCTTCTGACGCTGACCTGCTGGGCCTCTGGGCAGACCAGTCCCTGCCTTTCTTCAGCCTTACAGTCCCTCCCCCTGTGCCTACTGCCACCCAAGGGACAATAAAGGTAGAGCATAGGCTTGCTCATTCACACCTCAGTGAGCAGGATACAATTGCTCCCTATTTACAAGGGAAGAAGTAAGTAGATGTATACTATGTTTTTATATTCTACTAAAATTAATTTTTTTAATATTTTATATTTATTTAATAATTAATAAAAATATTTTTACATTCTACTAAAAGCAAAAAAGTTGCTACGGGGGATATTTTCTACAATGACACCAGTAATTATGGGCTGGACCCTGAGAAGCATTTTACTTGGATCACACATTTTAACCCCTTAACATCAACTGTACTTGGTGAACACCACTGCTGTCGCTTTATACACAAGGACAGTGAGATCAGAGGGGCTCAGTCGAGGGCACACTGCTGGCGAGGGGCAGAGACGAGGATGAGCCTGTATCTGTGTGGCTCTGGGGCTTACCTCACGACCACTGGGTAGTGGGTTTCCTTGTTTTCATTTTACCTTACACTACAAATGTGGTTTTGTTTGTAAAAGCAACATCCAAGATCCATAAGCTACCCACATGTAACAAGGCTCTATATTGACATAGAGAAACAAGCCCCATCCTGAACAACTTGGAAAGGGGTGAGCGCGTCCCTCTCCTCAGATGATAGATATCTCCTAGACCCCTAACCCTGGGGGAGGTACAGAATGGAGCCTTCTTTATGGGTGTGGTCAAATTAAAAGGGGAACATTAAATGGGACCTCATCAAGAGGCTACTATCTTCGTAAAGAAAGGAAACTGGACACAGAAAGACACATCCAGAGGGAAGACTGACTAGACGTAGAGAGAAAATCAGAGCGCACCTGCAGTGAATGGGCTTGACCAACAGCAGGTGGCAGATACATGGAGGGATTGCCACTTCCAGGATTTAGAGGGAGAATATCACTGCCAAGACTTTGGTCTTTGACTGTGGGGCCTCCAGAACTTTGAACAATGTGCTCCTGTTGTTTAAAGCCGCCAGTCAGGGGCACTCTGTTCCAGTGCTAACCACAGGGTGATAACCAGGCACCACTGAACTGCCCACCACTTTACACAGATGACCTGGTCAAAGGTTGTGATACTAGTTTCCACTGTGAAGATGACTAAATGTGATGGGGCAGTGTCAGCTGGTTAAAAGCACATTATCACAAAACACTGAAAAGGAAACATGCATCGAAGAAAACAACCCCACCTGCCCATAATCTTGCCTCAAGAAATGTCACATATGACTTATAAATGGCCATCAGGGTTCGGCCTGCCTTTGAAACTGAATGCTGCTATTGTCTTCTGTCCCCGTTCTGAGCCATGTGAACGTCCCTGCTGCACTGGTATTGCCTTTCATTGTGTCTTTCACATGAGACATGAACAGTGGACTCAGGAACGGCAGTGCACAGATGTGTGGGCAGTCCGGGGGAATCAGAGGAGAGACACAGGATTTGATTCCCTGTCTCCTTTACTACATCCCAAGAGTCTCTCTGCTTTCCTTGGTCCCCGGACCTCTTGCTAGCCTCCACTCCATCTCGGTCCATCTGTCTATACTAGGTGAGTGAACTCCTACAGTATTGCTGCCATCCTAGTGGGTTTGGTTAGGAAAGGAAATGAGAATAGGAAGAAGGCCTTGGAGAGTGGTTCTGACTGACACACAAACAACCCCCATTTCCAGTGTATGGTCAGGCCCTGCTGCCATACCCACCCTTTCCCTTGCTGCTGCCCAAGACCAGGAGGCTGTGAGTGCTGAATCTTGGACAGTTTGGGAAGGACCAGCATCACAAATGAATCATACAGTGCTCTGTATCCCCAGCAGACAGGACACCCTGATTCCTACGTGGAAGCCCCGCCCACTTGACCCAGTTAATTAACCCTCTACTTCGCTCTTCCTTCTTCCCTTCCTTTCCTTCCTGACCCCATCTGTCTCTGGCTTCCTTCCCTGTAAGCATGAAAATGACAGGCAATGTCAAGACAATTTCATTTTTAAATCCAGGCGTATTAGCGCAGAGCAGTGATCTCTGGGTATATTTATACAATAGCTGATATATTTCCTGCCACCCAGTAGCAGCAGTTGCTGGTCCTGTGTCCCACAGTTAATTACCATCATAAGCTTATTTTTCTATATTCTCAATTACTGACTTCGGGTTAATCCTTAATTTAGGATAAAGTAAAACAAGCTATGACCTGATTTGTCAACACTCATCTCTGCAAATTAACAGAAGAACCACTTTATAGGATTAGGAGTCAAAGAATACACCTGCCAGAGCACCGCCTTCCCCTCCAGATGTGCACCTGCACACCATGTGATCTGAAAGGGTAAGTGACACATTTCCACCGCCCAGCAGAGTGCCAGGCTCCTAGTAAGCCTCAAAACTTGTTAATAGGCAAATGTTAGTAAGGAGAGACGAGAACTGCCCTGCATTAACTGGTCGGAGGTGCTATACAGCATCAGGTGCCAGGAGCATTTGGAGAGTGAACCAGTGTTTGTGGCCAAATGCTTCTACAATTCTGAAAGTAAGGTTTAAATAGTTGGGGCTATTAATTCTAAATTGAGCAATTTAACATTACTAAAAAAAAAAATCAAGAAGTTGTATAGCCTTTTTTCCATATATGAGTGTAAGAAAAGGATGTGTGTGTGTGTCCCATGTTTCTCGTGCTTAACATGAGGCAAGAGATTACAGAACACCTGCCTCATTAGTTTAACAATTAAATAACCAAATCATCATTTTCTTTTCTAATGCAGCAGAAAACTTAATTTAAAATACATCAAAATAGACTGTTGCTTTGAGCTCTTTGCTACCACATATAAAATGAAACAATTAATTAGCTTAGCTTGTTAGATTACACTCTTAGTTACTTTTCTGTTGCTGGGATAATATAACCCAACCAAAGCAATCATATGGAGACAGGGTCGGTTTTGACTCACACTCCCCGAGGTTGGCAGGCCATTCTGGCGGCTAAGATGTGGCAGCAGACAGACAGGAGCAGAGGGTCAGGTGGTCACATTTGTACTCAAGAAGCAAAGAGTGAACCGAAGAAGCGGGGCTGGGCAATGCAATCCCAGGGCCTGCCCCTCACGACTCATTTCCTCCCAAGGCTTCACTTCCCCTGAATGGTTCCACAGCTGTCCCAAACCATGCCACCAGCTGGAGACCAAGTGAGCCTACTGGGGACATTTCACCCTCAACCTATGACACACCCTAAAATATAGGAAAGTGTGTGCTTTGTAAAGATGCTTGACACTCATATCCACAAAGCAAACAATGGGCTTTATTTACCAATTAGTAAATACAAACAATGAAAAGGTACTGAGATTACAGAGGTTTAGTTTTCCTGTAATCAAATCTTTTAAAAAAGTTGAAATTGGTGCACCATAGTAGCATTTCGTCCTTATGATTAATAGACCTTCTAAGGAAAGTATCAATAAATTATATGCTGTTTTCCATTTCAGGTTTTGTGCTTTGTGTACAGGAAAATCCGAAACACAGCTCATGCATACATTAGAAGGTCCACAGAGTTAGTGAGTTTACATTTGAAAGCAGAATGTGCCATCATTCTTCCATGTCATTATAGGTGACTGACATCTGCCAGGGGAACAATGGTGGTAAGAGGGGCAAGGAGAAGGCGAGGGAGACAGAGACAGAAAAGGGAGGGGTGGAAGAAGATGGTGTACACAAGACCTGCCAGTCAGATTCTGTACCAGATCTAGACAGGTCCAAAGACAAATCACCGCTCTCTGATGTGTTAGCTTGAGTCAGTCAGAAATGATCTCAAGGTCATTTTAACCCCAGGACTCACGGGAACAAGTCATTTTCAATGTTCTGTTTTCCACTGGATTCAAATTACTGTTTTATTCATGCTGACTTCTAGGGGAAGGGTCCTCTTCTTCAAGAATTACTTGTAATATTATATTTGAAATTAATTCTCCTCTGCATATATCCGTTGACAAGCTGTATATTCCAAAGAAACTTTCTATGCCATTGAAGAGTGGAATTAAGTCTGAAAATTCCTAGTAGGGTTGTTCAGGGGAAGCACAGTTGTGCTCATTGCCTGGGCTGCCCCCTTGTCCTTCTGTCCTGGTTCACCTGGGCTCTGACTTCTACACAGTAAAGCAGTGACCAGGACTAACTAAGCACAGAGCAGATGGGCTCAGATGCAGTTGTGACATCCTTGCTTTACTAAACAGCGGTGCCATTGAATGCTCATGTTTTTTCACTTTAAAATTGATTTTTAAATAGCCAAATAGTAAGTAGAAAGATGCAATGGGTTTCTGGATCCCAGAGAATGCACATAGACTTCAGCAAAAGGAATATTTTCGTTTTTTAAGATACAGATATCTGTTATCACTGCTGGAGATAAATTACTTAGCAAGAAAAATTCACGTATTTATCAGTAGATATAATATCACATGCAAAAAGTCGCAGCTAGGGAAGCCCCAGAGAAGGAAATAAATCACCCAGTGTAGTCTGAGCTGCAGAACCTGATGCCAAGAGCTGAGCTGAGCCGGGTACCACCCTCTACCTAGCTGCTGCAAAGGATGATGCATGCTGCTTAACATGGCCTTTCCATGTACCCAAGCCCTTGCTAAACAGGGCTATCTCCTCTAAAGATGCGATACGATTTAGTGTGGTTGTTAGTTCAATTCCGGGACTCTCTCGAGCCTAGACTATCAATCACGCAGAACGGTGGAATTATTCATACAGTTCAGTACTCTGGACTGCTGTTCACAGGAGACTGAAGAGATACGATCAAGCTCATTTAATTTAGACTTGAAGCTGGACGTGAACTTCACTCCCAGTGGAGCAGAGCTGTTTATCTGCTGAACCACCCAATTCCTCAGGTTTTGTAAAAGTGGTTTCTGATGGAGGATTCTTTCAGAGTAGTTTGCATGAAAGAGGAAAAGGGTAATAGCATGAAAATTCAGAAATCTATATAGCAACAAGGGATTCCCAAGTTTGAATACTGAGCTGCTGAAAGGGGAAAAAGATTGGATACAAATAGGTTCAAACTATTGTGTGACCTGTAACAAAAGTGCACGGTGTCATTTTCAGTTGTATTTTTCCTGTAGTGTTGCCTTGTAATAACGGACCAGATCAGCAACTAAATAAATAATGGCTGAGGATATCCAGAGAAGAGCTAATCTATTAGAAAATGAGTCCCCCTGTGCAGTGACTCTCGCAACTGTAGAGAATGGATGTCACCTCGTCCTCTTGGGTTCAGCTGCGTGGGAGCTACTGGTGCTTCCGTTGAATCACAGACCTCATTTCTCTGCCTGGGAGATGCAGAGCGTTTCTCTCCGAGGACTCATCTGCACAAAGCTGGGACGTGGAGAATTCTTGGAGCCACAATGCAAAGCTGATGGGGTGAGGCCAGGGAAGCTCCTGCCTCTTGCCCTCTCAACCCACAGTCTGATGACAAATGCCGGAAGGCTAGACAGACTTGCCTTTTAAAGCTGTTAGAGCTGAATTGCTTCTCTGGAGTGTTTCAACACTACATGAATTGGCTTAACGTATTAATATAAGAAAAATACCTCCTGACTTATGTAGGGGGTCCACACTACCAACTGTCCAAGCCACATGCAAGGGGCAATCTTACACTGCAGAGCGTGGTGGTTTGAAAGAAAACGGCCTCCTAAGGGGGTGGCACTATTAGAGGGTGTGGCTTTGTGGGAGTGGGTGTGGCCTTGGAGGAAGTGTGCCACTGTGGGGTGCAGGCTTTGAGGTCTCCTATGCTCAAGCTACACCCAGTGAGACAGCTCACTGCCAGTTGCCTGATGATCAAGATGTACAACTCTCAGCTCCTTCTCCAGCACCATGCCTGCCTGTATGCTGCCATGTCTCATTATGATGATAACGGACTAAACTTCTGAAACTGTAAGCCACCCCAAATTAAATGTTTTCCTTGTAATGGTTATAGTCTCTCTTCACAGCAATAGAAAGCCTAACTAAGACATAGAGGATAAAAGTATCTCATCTACTCGCAGGAAAACTATCCATCTGTGTCAGTTTGAGATCCTCCTTGTAACACAGATAAGGTGTATATTCCAACTGTACTTCATTTATGCAGGGTCAAGTTTGCTTATGCTGGTGGTTTTTTGTGCTCTGTTTATTTTCTGTTTTCTTCTATTAGTGTTATTGTTGTTGTTTATACTAGCGGTGGAGAACAGAGCCCTGTACATGGCAGGGAAGTGCTCTACCACTGAGCTATATTCACACTCCTAGGTCTTTCTTTCAATTATTAGTTCTTTTTTGGACTGAGAGGGCTTTTGGCTTGCTTATATTGAATTCTTTCTTATATGTATTTTATAGTTTAAGAAGTCAATTTGCATTGAATCCAGGATTAAGGACATATTTGTAGTGCCTTCAAATCATTTGCAAAGAGCAAATATATTTAAAGGATTAATGGTTTCTATTAATATAATGAAACAAAGTAGAATAATGAACATATTTCCAAACCCAACATATTTTAGTCTGGGGAACAGGAAACATGTGGTTCACTGGACACAATACAATCTGTCCATGAGTACTTAGCAATTTTCTCTAAGGACCAAGCACAGAGGGACAGGCCTGTACTCCTAGCACTGGCATGAACAGTCAGGAGGATTAGGAGTTCAAGGCCATCCTTGGCTACACAGTAGGACTGAAGCCAATCTGGTACATGAGACCCCCATTTCAACAACAGTAACAATAATAATAACAATCATTTTCCCAGTTTGTACTTCCTATCAGTAAAAGTGAATACAGGGAAATACAAAATTTCACACACACACACAAAAAAACATAGTAATTTTAACTAATAATATATTGGGTTTTTTCCCCACAAGAATAATGTAGCATTTTTTAACAGAAGACTATATTTTGTGTGCCCCTTTTATGATTATTGATAATTTTTTTGAGAATGCCATTCATGTTTACAGTGTGTTTTAATCAAATCTACCCTAACACCCTCCTTTCCAGTCCCTCCCAGATTCTTCCCACCAATCTCCCTCACAACAACTTCACGTCTGTTCTCCACCTCCCCCGACTTGCTGAGTCCCGTTAGTGCTGATAGTAAATGCATGAGCACAGGACCCTCTACTGAAGCATGGCAACCTGTCTGAGGCATATCCCTGAAGAAAACTGACTCTTTCTCCCAGCAGCCATCGAGTACCAAGAGTTCCTTGGATACTGGTGAGGCTTTGTTAGCCTCTCCCCGTCTATGCTAGAATTTTGGCTGGCTTGATCTTACACAGGTCTTGTGTAGACAGTTATAGGGGCTGTGAGTTCATAGGTGTGAGGACCCAGTCATGTCCAGAAAATACCACTTTTCAGTGTCCTCCATGACCTCTGACTTTTATCATCTTTCAGTCCCTTGCCTCCATGGTGATTCCTGAGCCTTGGGCAAGGGCTATGGTATAGATGCCCCATTTAGGGCTGAGCATAAGACAGTCCCTTATTCTCTGCAGGTTGACCTGTGTTAATTGTTATCTAAGAAAGAGGGAATGGGACACAAAAGATGGTGGTCAGAGAAGAAGCCAGGAGAAAAGACACAGACTCATGCAGAGTTCTGGAAGCTACTGCAGGGAGGCAGGAAGAGATCAGCTACTAAATACATTCCTTATCACCAACAGTATAAAGATGTGATCTACTCTATATTTAAAGAGAGGGGACTCCAACGACCATAAGACGTGATGATGTAGACCCACACACATGCCAGCAAGGGAACCATGCCACCCACAGTATACAACCATGTGTGTACTTCTCATTTTATTTTATTTGAAAACAAATTCTCCATGCTAATGTTTCTAGAATTTACACTCTGTGTTGTAGCTGAAAGTTTAATAACTGATTTTTTCCCAGATCATGACTGCACACCAGTACTGTATGTGACCCTGTGTGGAAATGTAACAAAGGGTTGCTGATCATTATAACACTTCACCCTTCAGAACAGCCCCACCTACAAACCCCAGGCAGAACAAGCAGCTATGACTCGCCCCTGCTACTGTGAGAAATGAGACCCACTAAGTGCTGAGAGCATAAAAACTCAAGGCTAGCTGGTCCCACCCAGTGCAGATTGGGGGCAGAGCTTCTGACATCATGGTCACGTCCAGTCCTTCTGTAATATTATCTGATTCACAAGGAAGCAGTCTTTGTATCATGCTGACTGCAGTTTACATAGAGAGAGAGAGAGGGGGAGAGACAGGGATGGAGGGAGGGGGAGAGAGGAAGAGAGGGAGAGAGAGAGGAAGAAAGGAAGAGAGAGAGGAAGAGAGCGGGGGAGAAAGAAAGAGAGGAAGAAAGAAAGAGGGAGAGAAACCGAGAGAGACACAGAGAGAGAACATGAATAGAGAGCCACCTACTATGACAACTAGGTAAACCAAACAGGCCCCAAAGTAAGAATGGAAGAAGAGAAAACAGCAGCAACACCAAATTCCATTCTTGCCCAGAGCAGCACTAAGGCTGCAAAGGTATGAGTTCCCAGTGATGCCTCTCTCCTTAACCAAGCTTGCCTTTAACTTGCCTGACCCTAGAGATCAGGGCACCTCTATGAGCATTAGCACTGAGTCTTGAAGATAAGGTTTGCTCTCTGTGTGTCTTATCCACTCTGGAATCCCATGACTCCAGGTCCATCATCCAGGGAGCACAGGAAATCCTGTAGAAGGAGTGTTTATGTGCAAGGAGAATTAGCAACAAACTTAAATTATGGGTTTGGTTCCACTTCATTTGAGGAAATACTTTGACATTAGAGTTTTGATTTGCTTCAACAGTTTTTAGAAAATATAATTATCAGTAAGAACTAATTTGTTGCGTAGTTCTTAATTTAAGGGAAAAGAGTGACAGCAGACACTAAATAAATTTTGCAAATTAACAACTTAAGTGTAATTATGAATTTAAAGCATGCTTAAATAGAAATAAAACCAAGCACAAAAGACAGTGTTCGATCACACAACAAAGCATGCCTTCCCCTGCCATGTTAAAATCAGTGAAGTACAAACCCTCCCCCTTTACCAGACTGTGACTATTTTATTAGGGCAACAATGTTAGAGAAAATACTCTCTCCAAGACATTTAAATAATTCATAAAGGAGAACAGGCTATGTACACAAATAAGCAAACATGAGAGACTGAATTTGAATGTGGAATAAACCGAGAATGAGAGAAAAGGAAGCAGGTGGAGGAAGAAAAAGACACGGAGGAGGAGGAGGTAAAAGAAGGATGAAGAGAAGCATGAATGGAGAACTGGGAAATACGAAGTACAGGTGCTCAGTTGCCGCTGTCCCCACTGCAGGAACGTTCCAGACGCTGCTGCAGCGGCTGTCTGTGCGCACAAAAGGATGGGTGTAAATGAGAGTGAATATACCGCAAAACGCAAGAGATGCTCTTCTTTTACACCCTTGTCAAACTTTCCTGGATGTGAAGCCATGGTCCAGGAGTGACAACAGGATTTGTACAGACACGTCACAGGGATGCCACAGCACTGAACTCACGGTAATGGATTTTCGGCTCCTTTGTAACCTTAGAACAACTCATCTTATTGATGAATGGAAACTGGCTTGGGATGCAAGAATGTGGTCAGTTAATAAAGTGAGACTATTTCTGACTTGGCCTTGAACCTAGGATCTAGAAAGATCTTTCTGAACTTCCTTCTGAGGATTTTCTGCTTCCTCTAGACACTGGGCTTTCCTTCAGCTTCAACCCATTCTCATGCTAGCTGTGCAGCGTCTAGTAGCTGCATGAGAGTATAGAGTTGAAATTTGGCTAGGGCCGCATGTTGAGATGATAGACAGTTCTCGGGTGTTTGACTACTGGACAGAGGAATCTGAAATAACATGTGTGTTTCATATTCCATTCCATTCTCTCTGGGCGTCCTCATCCCTGCCCATACCTTTCCATTTTCTCAGACAAATAATGCCAACCCAGATCTTCAGAGCTTCAAATCAGTATATCCCTTTGCTGTTCTGACTAGCACTGTCAAACCCAGCTTGTTCCAAGGTCAACTTGTCTATGCCACGCTCGCTGTGACACTGTTCTCCATTCATTCTCTCCCAGTCACCCAGCTGTTCAGGTGAAACGCTGCCCGTGACTTCTCTTTCCCTGTTGACTGAACTTCACTCCACCCTGTCTTACAGATGCATGTTTTTAAAAAATTCTGATAAAACACAGATTGGTAGGACAAGAAAAAGTGAGGCAGTTTTTCCAAAAGTGAAACTAAAAAGCAAGACATTTTCAGTGAAATTATAGATTCATACATTCAAATGAATTATTTACTTTTGTAAAACACATAAATACTTCCTGAAGCAAACTGTAACAGCAAAGGCAATATTGAGAAATTCTGTACCAAACACAACATTCTTATGGAGACAGACAGGATATCATTCATCTTTTGGATACGGGAAAAATTTCCATATCTGCTTGGAGAGATTTGGTGCAGAAAGTTTATCTCACTTTCAATTCTGAGTGGCTGCAAAGCCATACTTTACTGATGGGGATTACCTAAGTCAAGGCCACAGCAAAGTAATAGCTCAAGATATGCAAAGCTTTGTAATAAAATCATGGTGAGTGAATAGTAAGGATCATTTAAATTTATAAATGAAATCCAGCTTTACTGTGAAAGGTCTCCAGAATTCTATAAATATGACCATTAGGAATTGCTTATTCTTTGAAAAACAGTAACTATGAAATATGGTTTTTCAGTACTCTGACTTTTAAATTTAAATTTGGTAATATGTTATTCAATTTTGTCCTGTTATTTACCTTCATATGATGCCCCTTAAAATTTCCCTTTTTCTTTGAAGGTATTTCTAAACTGCAGCAGCTATATTTGATGCTGAAATATTAAGAAATACTATTAATTTCTCTTGGATGACAGGCAACATTATACTGCCTCTCCTTCAGAATACTTAACAGACAGCACCATGGATACTAAGCACCATGGCACTGTGATAAAGACAATTTAAATAAAACATGAACTCTCATCCAAGAAAACATTGATTTGCTAGCCACCACCACCAACTGTCAATGTTCCAGTAACAACAATACACAAAATATACACACCTCTGTACCCTGTGTGGTATGCTTTTTGTTTTTGTTTTTTTGTTTTGTTGAGACAGGGTTTCTCTGTGTAGTTTAAGATGCCTGTCCTGGATCTCGCTCTGTAGACCAGGCTGGCCTCGAACTCACAGAGATCCACCTGGCTCTGCCTCCCGAGAGCTGGGATTAAAGGCGTGCACCACCACCGCCCAGCTCATGGTATGCTTTTTGTATTTTCATAGACATGTTGAAGATCTACATGTTTTGTTGTTGCTATAAAAGTAAGCTACATTGCCAAAGAAACCCTGAGTTTTGTTTCATAGTACCATCATCTCTAGCCCAGGTCATCCGCCCACAGCCAAGATGGAAAGACAAAGAAAGGACAGAATTGTGGCTAGAGATGGCCCAGCACCTGGCACAGGGTAGGGCCCGCCTGGTTACTCAGTGCAGAGCAGGAGACTCAACTCCATGAGGTGCACGGATGCAGGTGAGTGTCTCTGGAGGTCAAGGTTAAAGGCACTTTAAGGATAAAAATGGAGAGCTGGGCGAGGCAGGGAACAGTGTGCAGAGGTTTTTCAGTGTACCTGAACCACCCAAGAAGAGCCAGGGAAACTAGACCATGTTTGTTCTCACCAGGCAGAATGGAGACCTGCACAGTGCCAGGCCCCATGAGGTCAGAAGTAGTATCATCTTGAGCCATCTGGACTAGGTCATACTCAGGTTTTGCTGAACAGAGATTTGAAGGAAGCCTCAGAAAGACTAAGATGCCCAGATAATTTAACCTCAACCCCAAACTACCCTCAAGGATATTTACAGGCATCTCAAAGCATCTGGTACTGAGCATACAAATTTCGTATTTGGAGAACATCGAACTAGTAGGTGTGTAAATAATCTGGAAAATGTGTCATAATGGAAAGACTGATCCAGCTAAACTGACTAATTCTGCTACAACTGTTAGAAACCACACCCCAGCACTTTAGGAGTCATGATCCACCTCCTGCAGAAAAGACTGAGCCATAAGAGACTCTTGTGATTCCCGAAGTCCACTGCAAAGGACTGACAGCCAAGCGGAAGGGAAGAGCGGCAGAGCCTTCCACAGCTCTCCTGAGAGGGAGCCTTGGTGAATGTCACAGGAGCATTGGTGTGCTACGGGGGGGGGGGGGGGGGGGGGCACTCATGCAGCCTCGTTTGTACAAGAGTCCCCAAGAGAAAGAAAGCTGGGAGAGTGAGGGGGAAATATGTTAAGGAAATAATGGCCATTTCCCCCAAACACTACCACTGTAAGTCCCTCATCCACGAAGTTAAGAAAAGACAGCCCCATGTGTAGCTTTAGCACACAGCATCAGACTGAGGACAAGAGAGAGGACCGAGACACCAGAACCAGCACAGGAGTGGTAACAGGGGCTTCCTCAGCAACAGCTTGGTCCAGGGGCAGCTTCTCTAAAGCAGGAAGGGATCAAAACTCAGCCTAGAATTCTGAGTGCATCAAAATACCTCTCAGAAACAAGCTTTAAGAAAACACAGTTGGAAATAGAAAAGCTAAAATAATCCTTCTAAGCACACTTGAACGACAGGGAGTTGGTGAAGCCCTTTTGATAGAAGGAAAATGATAGTACAGATCACTTATATGTACAGAGGGCACAGGGGATAAGAAAGGCAAGTTAATACTGCTTTTATTTCCATGACTGGGGACTGAACATGGGACCTCATGAATGCTAGGTAAGAGCTCTACCTTTATACTGCAACCCTAGAAACCCCACTTTGGGTACATATTTTTAAAAATACTGAATGCTTACTGCAAAAATAATAATGTAGTATGGTGTTTATAATGTACATGGAAGTAATATTAGACATTAGGGCAAAGAACAAGAAGATTTCTATTCTACAAATAAATTAGTATGAAATAACTTGACCCAGCTTGAACATTCCTAGGCATATAATCAAAGGACCCAGTATCATATCCACAGACTCTTGCTTGGCCATGCTCATTACTGCTCTATTCACAATAGCTAAATGTTCTTCAACTGACAAACGGAAATGTGGTCCACATATTCATCTGTAAACACAAAGGAAGTCATGAACTTTATAGGTAAATGCGTGGAACTAGAAAAGATCATATTGAGTGAAGTACCCCAGACTCAGAAAGAAAAACTACACAGGTCCTCTCTTATTAGAGGTTCCTAGCTCCAAATCTTCAGATATAAGTGTCGTCCTCATCCTTCATCAAGGAATCTCTCTTTGCAACAAATGGAGACCATTATGGAAAACCATAACCATTCAAAGTGCAGAGTTGAGGAGTCCAGTCCCAGTGGACACATCTACAAACACTCCTGTATCTAAGGCTCAGGGAACACTGTGGAAGAGGGGACAAGATTGTAAGAGCTAGGGGATCAGAGGGTTTGCTGTGGGACCTGTCTCCTGGTAACATGAGAAGTGATCCCCATAAAGTCTCACAACATGACTGCCTGAGATAACAGGACAGTTGTAGACATGCTACAGACATGCTAGGTAAGAGCTCTACCTTTATGCTGCAACCCCAGAAGCCCCACTTTGGGTACATATTTTAAAAAATACTGAATGCTTACTGCAAAAATAATAATGTAGTATGGTGTTTATAATGTACATGGTAGTAATATTAGACATTAGGGCAAAGAACAAGAAGATTTCTATTCTACAAATAAATTAGTATGAAATAACTTGACCCAGCTTGAACATTCCTAGGCACATGTAGACATGTGGACAAGGGAAAGCCCATGAGGCCTCAATCCTATACAAAGAATTACAGGTAACTAAGGAAGGCTCAGAGTTGGAGAAATAGTCTTCCCCAGGGAAGATCACAGCAGTTGGTTATCCAGTACCAAATGGTCAACATTGAACATACTCCTATATACAAGTAACATTATACAGGCTGAGCAGGTTATATTTAGGAATATATAAATATATGCATGCATATATATGGATATATGCATGTAACAAAAATCAATGCAAATAGGACATGAGAGGAAGGAGTGATATATAGGAGGGGTTGGAGGGAGGAAAGGGAAAGGAGAAATGATGTAATTATATTATAATCTCAAAATTAAAGACAAATAAATAATATGTGAAAGAAGATTATGTAGTATGCATGCTGTAAATCATAAAGCAAATAAATCAACAAAGAAATAAAATAGTCATAAAAATATTCAGTTTTCTCAAAGAACGAAGAAAAATGAGAGACACAGCAAAGAATATTTAAAAAAACAAAACAAATAGAGAGATAATAGATAAGAACTCAATTATATCAATAATGAATCATGAAATATAAGGAGACAAAACTGTGCCTAAAAGGCCCAAAATACAAGTACGGCTAGAAAAGCAAGATATGGTATGTGTTTCCTATGCTTCGAAAATAAACACACACACACACACACACACACACGAGCTTAAAAGTAACAACAGGATGAAAGACATGTACAACACAACCACAATGAAAACAAACCTTGTGTCTGTGTGACTCGCTTGTTTTTCTTGCTTCTGTGATAAAGTACTGTTTGAGAAGCAACTTAAGGGAGAAAGTTCCAGCTCATTGTT